CCACCCACGATCTCATTTGGTAGCGTAAAACATACTAATTTTTCTTTTTGTCTAGTAGCCGGCTGGTAGCTTACCGGAACGATGCCCATCCGTTGCTGGTAGCTCAGCTGGCATGCAACTATTGTATTTATTTTCCTTTTCCTTTATGTATTGCGGCACAGTAGCTGAGGTGTTTCCCACCTTTAGCTGACGTGTATAATGATGATGCTGATGAACTCATCGAGCGCATCGCCAAACTAGCACTTGTTCAAAACCCAACAATCAATCGCTTGCATCACTACCTTCTTGGGTAGCTTAGTGGCATCCCGTTTGTCCCACAGACACCAGGATTTGGGTGAGATTCCTTTACTACATTCATTGCTTCCTACACGGATATAGTCTGTGTGCGACTGACATTGTTTCTCACTTAGCTAGTTGGTCGTTGTGTGAGCAATGCATCCCGAAATCTAAATGAACACATTTGGCTAATTTAGTCGCAATTTGCGTTTTTAAAGCGTCTTTCAAGTAAATCAGACTGCTAACACCCCAAATTACTCACCAAACTCCCAACCCAAATTTAAATTAACATGACCAACTTGCTTAAAGTAAAAACTTATTTGGTTTAGTACTGATGAAAGGATTTCTGTCAAAGATTAACTTATACATCGGTTGCCATTCCTCATGGAACAAAAGCACACCGTTATTCACCTATGTTTGCATCTACTTGTCTAGCAGTTCCTACTTGGGTTAGTTTATAGGAAGTACGTACAGTGGTTCCGCCCTTGTCTAGCTTCTTAATTCCTCCATGTAGCTGCCTAGATATCATTAAGTTGCAACTAATTTGATACGTGGGATAGAATCAGTAAAAACTTCCGCTACATTATTCAGCTTATACGCGAACATGGGAGTTTGGATGTAATTTGCTAGAGAATTCATTGCGGTAGCTCCCAAATCATCTATCCTACCGTGCATTTACGAAAGTACTTGATGGCCTTTTCGCTTTATTGGGACTCCCCAGTGGTGCACAATGCCTGGTTTCACCAGAAGCAACCGAACCTGTGCCCACTCAAACCCAACGGCTTTCAACTTCATGGTCAGGGGTGATAGTGCTAAACCGTCATAAATTACGAGCTAACTGTGCTCTGGCGCAGCTACAATTCTACTACCATGCACGTTATGAACTTTGTGGAGGGCACATATGATGACACCTAAATTCATGATTTTCTATTACAACTACGTGCGATATGATGTCTAGGGGGTATTAAAGCGGTTGCTTTGACTAGTCGTAATTAGAGGAGTATACGCGCAAATATGTGCTTAAAAACATGGGAGTTGTGGAGACTTCGGCGACGCTACTGCTCTTCAGCACTCGTCGGTATACTGAGGCATGCTGCCGGACTGATTCTGTTATTTTAACAACAAGCTTGCCCCACTGAGCTGTTGAAATCTTCACATGCAGTGCGCAAACGATCCGAGGAATATTATCTTCTCTCGCTTTCTGAACTCCTGTCTCGTCAGAGTCACGTTTGGTGCTCAATCGTTTGTTTATACTCTGACTAAATCTGTGCTCACCAACGTTGTCATTTATTTCTATGGTCATTTGCCTTACCGAATCAATCAAGAAGGCCTCCCTGTCTGGATCATTAAACATAGAAATTGAGGTCGCAATGGACGAATTCAAGTAATCAAACCGTGTCGTTTGTGCATTCGAGGACCACTTCACATCTCACCAGAGGTGCATAATTTAACTTCGAGATTTTCTCTTACGCGCTCAAAGTTCAATATCCTGCGATTGCAGTGACAGTCCACAAAGGTTACATCAGGGGTGGGTGGCAGACTCATGTACCAGGATGACTGCATTAGCAGGGGAGAGTATGGCAACTAAGAAGGTTTTAGATATGGCTATGCGTGAAGTAGACTATTCAGCTTGATACATATGTGAATTATGGACCCGCTAGGCTATACTTTTAGTCAACATACAAGGGTGGATCAGAAACTTCTCGGCCCGGTATAGAAAGAATCCAGCTATCCAAGTCACGTTTTATTACTATTCAACATAGTCTCCCATAAGTCGAATGTAATTAGTCCAGCGGTGTTGAGACATTGTTGCTCCTCTGTGTAAGAACGTCGAAGACTGTCCCTCTAAAAACAGTTCCAAAGTACTGATCAACGCCTCATCGTCAACAAATATGTGACCCCGGAGGAGGGAACAGATCCAAGTATGATCGAGTCAGATCCAGTGAATAAACTGGTTGTGGCAGCAATTCAAAGCCACCTCTGGCTGCTACTGACACGGTCACCTGGGAAGTGTGCATAGGTGCATTGTCATGCAAAAGAATTCCTGCTGCTAGCTACCTATCCATTTTTCTATAACAGCTTGTTTTAATTGACGCACTTTTGACTGTACTACTCGCCTGTGATTATCTGATCTCTCAGCAAGCAGTCTATCATGATTACACCTTCACTGTTCCAGAAGACAAAGCCCATCACCTTCCCCATGGACGTCCCCTGACGGAGCTTCTTTGGGGGCGACTAATCACGGTGCTTCTACTAGTTACTTCTAATCCAACGTTTCATCCTGGACAACAAATCATTCGAAAAAATTTGCGGGGTTAAGCTTGAAACGGGCCGAAAGTTGCCTCGAATTTTCCATTCTGTGTAATTTCTGATCTGGTGTCAACATTCTTGGTACTCATACCGCAGTCAGCTTTCTCATGCGCAGGATGTTCGTTAAAACGACACACTGAGCCAAAACTGGTACTCATAGCCGCAGCTATTTGAGAAATAGATAACTATCATTCAATATCACTAGGTGAATTGCTTACACTTGATCATCACACGTCGAAGATTTCTAGAGGCCAGACTGTGGCTCAACTCCAGTGCTCTGCCTGCTCTTCTTTATATTCGCACCCCACTTCTTAAGAGTGGAATAAGTAGGAGCGTCCTCACTTTGTGTCCCAACAATATCAGTACGGATTTCCTTTGGCGTCACACTCTTCTTCTACAGATACTTGATCACAGCTCGACGTTCATATTTGTCTATTCGTAGAAATTGAGCAACCAAGGTCACTTCTATGGATCATCACCTGCGCGCAATCTGTGATAGAATCCTGAGAGTTAGCATTGATATTTCCAGGATATGAAACTTTCGTGAACTAATTATTTTTTTAATTCATTTCATTTACTTCTTGATTAGCCCAAGAACTTTTGATCCACCCTTGTTTATCGGATATTTGCTTGGCCTTAGAATTCGAAGTTAATTCAGGTCCTTGAATATCATGCGTTTGACAATATCACGTCTACAGTGACGAAAAGAATTTTCCAGTGTTCAGCCGATGCCGTAAGTGTAATTCATTGGAGTAACTACCGAAACTGAACAAGGCGTAGACGCATTGAATTCGCCAAACTCAGATGCAGTCAAACAACTAGGCGGCATTCAGAGCAGTGCTACAAGGCCATCTTGTCTTTGCTTGAAGTTGTGGCCATCTTATTTGTCCCTTGTGGAGTTAGAAGTTATCACACTACTCTACTAGATGGTAGTTTAGAACATTGGGCCACAGGAGACGACATCCACCATTATGGATGAAGTACTGGTCGCGATACAATGCAGCTCACTGTCCGATGTCTTGCAGGTGTGCCAATGAGGGGGGAATGTGAGGACTCTACATCCAACAGTTCGCCTGTATCATCATATGTAATTATATTGCGGCACTGATTGTAAAAACTTTGTAGAGTATTAGGACAGTGTATGGAAGGAATTTATCAGACAGAATCAATCAGACGTTGGGCATATCGGTAAAAATTGGACATTTACTGAGTTCTTAGCAAATCAGCAAGACCTCCAACGCAACTACAGCTATGTTGTGGCCTTCAGGCTGTGTCTACTTGGTGCCCCTTCCACCCATCAATGCCATCTAGTTTTCAACATTGAAGCCAGAATACTGGGAAGCTAAGCTCTTTTCAGTGTGACTAGCCAGTTTAGAATATGCTTGATTTGTAATATACAAAGCCTCAGGTCCTGGCGGACGCAAGTACTTCATACCCGACGCTGGCCGAATTTTCTTTATCCTACCTCCGGATTATCTCATAATGTGAAAATATGACTCCAACGCAAATTACGGTATTATGAAGTGTTGAAATGAAACTGCAAACGCTTCAGAAGCCCAGCAAGCAGCCGTATTATAACCCGACTTGTTCTTAATATAGCATAAATTTTTAGCCCTTGTTGAAACGTCTTTCTAGATTACGCTTCATACGACTTATGATCTGCGAGATCGTTGGGACATATAGTTATTAGCCGGGAGATAGGTTCATAAATCTTAACTGGAGGCAGATTGTTGGGTTGTGTTTTAAAAGAAACATCAGCGTCTACTCGGTTTTATTACAGATGCGTTCTAGCTGTCGGGCTGAACATAGTCGGGAGACATTTGTTCCAGAGTATTCAGTTTGTGCAATTATTCTCCGAAAAACCCCACCTATGTGCGTTTACCATGGTTTCATGACCGGATATGACAATAAGTTTGGACATTATGCCTTTTCAAAGGTAACTTTCATGTAGCTTATCTAAGGGACAGAAACCTTGTTGTTCCCACTGAGTAGTTTTCTTGAGTGCTTTTGGTGGTTGCATGCGACTGCATGTCGCAATTAAAGACACGGTCGATGCTTTAATAATCTAAAATATAGGTATACTTCATGCGACAAGCTTTGTCGGAGGAATCTAGTAACCAATTAATGATGAGTTTCAGATGAGCTTGAGTTGCACCTCCCAACTAGTTAAAAGGGAAACTAATCCGGCCCTAGAGTGCTACCTTTGCAGAAAGTAACACACAATTTCATGTTTCTCAGATTTTCTCTTCCAGTTTGGTTGCGATGAGATGTATGGGGACCAGCGAAACCCATACCAACCGTTGTCATGGGTCACACTCTCATGATCATTACTCATAATCTTTAGGTGGAAACAAGTACTTGATTTACTTTTACTATCAAAGTATTGGATTATTTGCACTACCTGCAAATTGTAGATAGCCAAAATTGGGGACTCCAGAGGACTACCAGTTACTCGCCTCAAACTTGTCATGTGCTGGAACAAATACAACCGAACCAGAGATCTAGCCCTTCTGCGCACTTTCAGAGGAGGGCTTCGAGGTGGTGTGTATCCCCAATTGAACGCTTTTCCGGTGTGAGTGAACGAACCACACATCCGGTACGTTATTGCAATGAGCCCTACTTGATCGGCAGTCCTCCGGGGGATGGCAGTGAGCTCTACTATCTAGAAGATGAGCGTGGTGGGTTGGTCGCACTCTTTGTGTTTTCTACTTATATTGGTGATTTCATAATCCATACGTTTTTAGTTATATCTGCAATCTGAAAGTTGATTACACCAAGGGGTTCTTCTGTTCGTACTACACAATGCATGTGGGGATAGTGTCAGCTAAATGACCAAAGACGATGGTAAAGATGAAGTTACTGATGTGGTGAAATAAGAATATGACGAATACACTCGATAGTTTAGGTTCATTTACGTCGCTTACCCACCTCATCCCTACAATAATTACTAGTAAGGTATCCCCCTAAAACGAAGAAAAACGGCCCAAGTACCACGTCGAACCCACCCTTCCCACCTAACTTCAGTTCTACGGAGTCTATGCGCAAAAACAGCCTAAGGATCTTTTGCTTCCGAGTCCAATACTTTGCCCTTCTGTGTCTTTTAGACGCTAGTGTGTGAGTGATGCACAATAACGATCTGTTGCTCTTGGAAAAGACTCTTTTTAACTTCGCCTATTGGGGTTGCGCGCTTCGAGGATACGGTTGCCGTCCTTGCGTACGCTCGTAAGCAGCAAGGACGTTTCACGGAGCCTGCTGAACTGAATAGCAAGTATAATCTGAATACAACGCTCTTCACAGTGTAACTCATGCGTCATTCTTGATGGCGCTGGGTGGACAGTCCAGCTTCTATAGTGCTGCTGTAGTACACTTTCCGCTTGTACTTTGGAATACCTCGTATTGGGAACCAAAAAGTGTGGAGCCAACTTATTTCATACAAATGTTAAGAAGGGATAGTAAACGGGAGCAGAGAGCAAAGTAACGTACTTCCAACCAAGATATAGCAATACCTGCTAAACACACGCAGCGAAATAAACAGGACATTTTGAAGTGTGAAGACAAGTAAAGTTCAATGGTAATGCAACAGTTATCCTTTTCAGAGCTCTAACCTTGCTCCATAGAATGCCTCACCGCGATGCTTTCTTACAAGGAAAATATATGGACTAACCTGAAGTAAACCCTACTGGTGTAGCTGTAGATGGAACAATGATGCAGTTTAGGACAGACTGGATTTAGTATCACCATCGCGTGTAATTGTCATATTTTCTTCTTCCGATTCGCGTGCCCAGCATCTCAGTAGGGCTTTGCGAAGACAAGCAGTATGCTGGGCTCCAGCCCCTTGCTCCTGAAGAGAATGAACATAAGTTGGCAGTGAGTGTGATCACTAATGCGTTACCCAAAGTTATGAATGCTTACACAGAATTCCAGCAAAACAGTTAAACTATTTTAATCCCATATAACTGGTGTGCGATGGGACAAAGACACGTACAGCTCAATCGGCTGAAAGGATGTAGTAAATTCTATTCTCGGATGTCGAAGAATGATTTAATTAACTGACTTTTTTGTTTACTGTAACTAGAGCCAAATCTCTACCGGACGCTGTACTTTAAGGTCAGGTTTAAGCCACCATAAGTAGATCAGTAAGTGTAAAGTTTCAGTTACGTTCTATCATTCCAAATCCCGCACTTTCATTCAAATAGCGGTCGCTTAAAATTAGGGTAACATCTCAGTGGGGAAAGAGGTCACGTTTTCTATCCTATTTCTGCCTTTAGGTACCAATAAATGTTAACTGTGAATATACTTACTGGTACCTTTGTCTCTTCGGCTTCCACTATGCGTCCTTTTGTGACTGATCGAAATGTGAGCGGTGTGTATGGAACAGTGTTTTCTAGTACAACCGTTCCTGATTTACCAGTTTTTGACAGTATCGCTTCAGTAAGTTCCGGTAAAAGTTCTGGCTATGGGTTTTTCTTAACGTAGTCAACTCACTTCAAGACACGCTGCTGGTAGAAACAAAACAAGCCATATAGTTTGTTCATAGTGTCCTATGTAATCGCCGCACGATGCGTTTGACGATGTTCCTAGTGGTGGAAGCAAAAGAGACGGTGATGCTTAGTGCATATAACTGTCAACATCAAGCTGAGTGACTTATTTGTCTTTATATGCTAATTGCATTCTAGTCGCTTTTGTTCCCTATGATATAGAGAGGATTCTATTTGAAGCAATGCTTAGACCTTGATTAGTCTTCCATCAGGAATGTCGACGAAAAAGAGAATACTTACTGCATATCTTGCTTTTTGCAAATAGCCGATACTCCTGAACGAATGACTTCACCAAACTATCACTTTCGAGAGAATCAACGTACTACCAAGAAGTACCACCCGAAGTATCTGAGTGAAGACCGAATTCCTTCTAATTCTTCACCACATGGCTCTTTGGCCGCTTCCGTAGAAGCTCCTATGCATAACATGATCAGACGTGCTTGCTCACCTAAAAAGCTCCTCAGTGAGCATCATAAAGTGGACTCCTTTCCAAGTGGGATAGATGAACCAAGGTAAGAATGGACCGTTGACACACATTTAACTGACCTATTGTACACTGTACATCTGAACTCACATCGCAAGCCCACGGAGACTGCCATTAGTATCCCATCTCTCAAATCGTACCATCGAATTGCCACACTCTGTTATACATAGTAGAAGATCTGTTTTTCATCGCTGAATACCTGGACTACTATTAGCACCAAACGACAACTGTAAAGTTCTGTTTCTCATGGCCAACTCATGAAATGTTATCCGAACCATTTTAAAGTATTTCCATTTAAACGTTCATCGGATAACAACCACTACAGCTTTTGCTTTAAATAATCTCGTGGCACTCTGGCCGTCGCTGATGCTAATCAGCGGTGCTCTGTCCGTTCGATCGAGCATGGGTTGGGAGCCACAGCTCAGGCCGGTGGCCCAGTAGTCTGCAAGCCTGGCTTGCGATCATAAGATTACCGGTTCGAATCCGTGTAGGGGCGGACGTCCTCGCGGCATAATCAGTCCACACACGACTGGTGGTGGTCGCGCGGCAACGAATTGCCGTTACGGCGTAGAGCTAACACAGTATTTTAGTATTTATTTTTTCTTACGTTTTCCATCCTTAAAGTCCTGCCTCAATTTCACTTTTATCCCTCATTTTCAACCTTCTAATTATTGGCCCTCCTCCGTCTTGCTTCAATGGTCGCTTGTCTTCTGGTTTCAACTCACACAAAATCGCAGTGCGTCACTTCACTCCAGTCGGCAAGTCTATGTTCAACCATGCGGTCGACGTCAATTCAGCCGTTTCTCTTTGGAATCCTAACTCCTAGCTAAGACTGGCATGCCTCAAATTGTGCGCTTTGTTCAAATTGGCTAACACGCAACACTTACGCGGACACATGAGACCATATCGATCGATATCTGTTGTTTATCGGAAACCCAGCTACAAGATTTGAGCTCCTTGCTTACCCTGCAATCCTCCCTATGCAACACAGGTAACGCTTCCTCATACCGCCTGGTTGGAGATGACGCAGCTTCAACTGTCAGTTAAGCTGGCATGGGCATTATTTGAGTCGCCGGGCGAAGCTGCTTTGACCGATTGGATCCCAATGAATAGCCGAATGTGCTCCGTCAGATTGGCTGGTTCATACTAGGCTTCAAAGTTGCGCGGGACACAACGGTGCTTGTTTATCATTGCGGCCTATACCTCCACAAACTGTAGCACTGACTCGGTGAAGATGATTTCCATACCAAATCAATGATCTTCTTCTTTCCAGAAGAAGCATCGATACCGTGGTGTTGGCTGGTGATCTAAATGCCCAATTCGGAAAATTGTCATCTGATGAGCTGCATCTGGGCGGCCAACATGGTGTAGGCTCTTGTAATGACAACGGTGAACGGTCGCTACACCTGTGTGAAGATGCTGGTCTCTTTCTTGCCTGCATTAGCTTTCGATACAACACGTTCAGAAGAATGACTTGGCGGCCACCAGCCTCGGGCCAGCCATGGACGCAAATCGACCACATGACGATCAGTTAACACTAAAGAGGCTGTGTCCAAAACTGTCGCTCGATTTGGAGTACGAGCGTGGATTGCTATCCCGCTCCTGTGAGTGCTAAACTTCGGATACGTTTACCGAAACGTCCTTAACGGCGATGTGGGCGCATTGACACTAGCCGACTGGAAAAGCTAGATGTTTTGAATGCGTACACTGGCATGCAGCTCGAGTAGGCACCTGCCGAACACCGTTGATTATTACTACTCGCAAAATCGCCAGACGTTACCATCAGCAGGCATGTCTTCATGTGGTAAATTAAACTGTCAATCTGGACATTGGGTCTGCCCAGTTTATGGAACTTTTGGATGCTCACCGACGTATTCCGGCTGGAAGCTAACACAGTGAGACTCATAAATTTATCAAGGTAAAACTTCTTGCTAGTTTGAAGAGAGACCGCGAAGGTTGGTTGTCTGATTGTGTCTCAGAGATGGCAACAGCAGCTGCCGTTGATAACCAACGTAAGTTATTCTGTTTGATACGGGAAACAGGCAGCAGGAGAGCTTGTGTTAGCGGGACCATGCGCGACGAGGGTGGAGAGCTGATCCACAGCTTGTCAAAACGCTTGGTGCGTTGGGCCGAACAATTTGCAAAGCCGTTAGATCGATCTGCGTTATGGATTTCGTTTTCGGGCATTAACTGCCCTTCTCCATCGGGTGTCACCTTGGATCTGCCCTCACGCGTAAAAGTCTAATGTGAGAGCAGGCTGTTAAAATTGACTAGGACAGCAGGGGCAGAATGACTTCCACCATCCCTGTTCAAATTCGGAGGAGCTGCTTTCGTAGAGGATTTGCACAATTTACGCGGAGAGTTGTGGGAGTGCAGGACTGTCCCAACCGACTGGAACCGCCCCGTCATTGTCCCAATTTTCAAGGGAAAGTCCCGTTTGGAATACGACAATCATAGAGGGATCAGTCTGATTTCTATTGCCTCTAAATTGCTTGCGTTTGTCCTTCTCACCAGACAGAACCGCCCTCGTGATAGTCAGATTCGTGAGCACCAAGCCGGGTTTCATGGAAATCCAGATTGCATCTGCCACGTCTTTACTTGGCGACAATTCTCGGAGCACCGCTATGTTTAATCGCGACCTATCGTAGTCGTGTTCCTTGACATCAAATGTGCCTTCGATTTGGTAAATCAACGTGCCCGCAGGGACTGTCTGCTTAGGAAAGATGTGCCTGTTAAATTCGTAAATATTATCCAGGAGTTGTGAACGTGCAGTTCGGCTAGAGTGCGAATTTATGACAAATCGTCGCCACATTTCAATATCTCCAGCGGTGTGAGACATGGTTACACGCTGTCACCTTTTCTCTTTAGATTCGCCATTGAGGAACTCAAGGAAACAGCATTCGCTGGACACGACCTACAAGGTGTGAACCTGGTTTGCAACAAGCAACTTCACGACTTGGATTTCGCTGACGACATATCCTTTAACTGTGGTAGCTCGCAAGTAGCACTGGACAGGTTAGCAGTGGTTGTCAGCCGCTTCGGGCTTTGATTTGCATCGTCGAAATGCAAAATATTGCTCCAAGACTGGCTGGGACCCACCTCTGTGCTGACCCTTGGTGAGGATTAGCTAGAAGTCGTTCAGGTATTCAAGTACCTGTGCATCTATATTATCACACGTGTGATCGAAACTAAGGTCACGAAATGTATGGCGAAAGCTCGAGACGCTTGTACCAATCTCCGCCATCTTTGGCGCCGACACGAAATGCTTCTCGCCCTGAAGGGCAGAGTTTACCATTCAGCCTTCGTTCAACTCTCCTATCCGACTGTGAAACCTGGCCCGTCAGCTCCGCAGACTTAAAGACGCTTGTTACGTTCGACCATCGTTGCTTTTGCAGTATGGCTCGTATCTGGTGCGAACACCTCGTGAGCAATGAATGTGTTCGGGGTCGTGTATTTGGTGCAGAAAGTGCTTTTGAACCGCTCAGCACCGTTCTTTCACGAACCAGGCTTTGATTGCCTGGCCAAGTCTTGTGCATGCCAGCGCACCGTCTTCCGCGACGTGCCCTGTTAGCGCGTTCGAGATCTGGATGGAAGAGGAGAAGGGCGGCCAAACGATAAGCCATCATCATCAAAATCAACAGCAGTATCACAGCCTCTTGAATTGATGCTTCCATGCCATATAACCATAATGACCTACCGAACGAAGAATAATGCGAGGGAGAGAAGAGGAACTTACCCTCAAATCTTAATGCCATTATCCCACAGATAACTCAGCGCCAAACACACTTTAAACAGGCAGCCCGACTGAGAGACGACAGCAGGCACACCCCTGGTGCCGACTGCTATTCAGTTCCTATAGAGTCTCGAGCCCAGCTCAGGGTGAGTCACGTGGACTCCAGCGTCGAAGGTGAGGCGGACCGACAGCATCGAGTTTGGTCGTCCGTGACCATTTCCCGCTGCCGAGTCAACTTTTGTCTACCGCGAGACTTGCGCTACCCTAAATCTGGCAGACTAAACAACTCCCTACTAGGTAATCTGTGATCAGGCATACTTAATACGTGTCCAAGCCAACGCAACTTATTCAGTGCTACCTGTTGTTCTAAAGAACTAGCTTTGGCATTATTGTTTATCACTCGCCTAGGCACATCATCGTTGTGCACACGCTAGTGACATGCGACACCAGCAATGCTTTGCAGACAGCGATGAACGAAGACTTGAAGACGCTTCAAATCTGCAGACGGAATACGTCAAGTCTCACTCACATAGAATGGGACGTCCTTCACTATGGCCTTGTAAACACGGCCTTACAAAGAGAAGGAAGTCTGTTTCTGTCGCCAGAGTTGCCGCGGATTCAAGAAGGCGGTTCTGGTTTTTGCAATGCGTGAAGTGACATCAGTTTCTACGCGCCCATGGTTGCTGATGCGGCTGCCGAGGTAAGTGAATTCATCAACTACCTCGAGTTCACTTCCTAGTTCGGAAAATGCTCGCCGGTCTACGTCTGACTGCAAAAATAATTCTCAACCTTCAACATCTCTTGAACTCCTCACATTTCCGTCGTGGCGTAACAACCACTTTTGTAGCTCGGGGCGGTGGCGAGATTTTCGCTTTGACTATGGGTAAGATAGACGCGTGAAGACCATACAATCGGCTCAGGGTAAAGTGCACAGTCGTTTTCGATGAAATGGGTGATCGTTTGGGACACTGTGACAAGTGTGATGAAAGTGACTACTATGGGACAAATAAGATCACTGGGAAGAACATTTGCACAGGTGCGACACATAGCGCAAATGTGTTGTTGGTCATAGAGTAACATGAAAACATTCAACCCTCAGCTCACCTAGATATTTTGTCCCTTATACTTGGTAGCGAGCATTCGAAGGTAATAAAAATGTCGCCCGGGGTGGGGGCCTCCTTCGCCCCCGATGCTACGCCTCTGCAAGTGAAGCAATTAAAGAGGATCAGTCATCTCATGGTAAACAGAAAGCAAACCCACCGCCATTAGGCACGATCAAGTGCCCGCTCACACGGGTTACCGTGACTATCTTAACTGTATGTGAGGCTTACTGTATACAAAGTTCTATCAAGGAAATTAAAGGAAAAAGTCCAATCTCCCTACTATCGTCGCCACTATCTTTTACTGACCGAAAACGTTGCGGGCCTCAGTTACCACAGTTTACACTAGCAACTTTGTCATAACTGAAATGAATTATGCTTTTATGGCTCCCATGAATCCCTGCACTAGAGGGAATTTGTCATTCAAACACGCCGTGTCAAAGCAATTAGCATCCCAGAAGATGAATTCACCCAGCTGCGCGAAGTAACGTAGTGTCGAAACAGCCCACACTGTTTCCGAGATGAGTGATAAGTTAGCAAATGTACAGACGGAACTGATCATGCATAAGCAACATGCCTCCTTTTTGAGCGGCTGACACAGAACAAGATGAAGGCGTTTCCTAATCGCCATCCACCGTACTTATAGCATGCGAGTAAAGTACTAGGATAGCTTCTGAAATGCACCAACGTATAAACAGATCGCAAAATTCTGATCATCTTTTATGTCTCAGCCACAGATCTATTGATATCTGTGATGTGCACTTAAATTAAGTCTTGCACTTATCGCTCGGGGCGGTGTTGAAATTATCACTGACTGAGGGTAGCATAGGCGCGTGAAGGCCATACAATCGGCTCAGGGTAAAGTGCACAGCCGTTTTCGATGAAATGGGTGATCGTTTGGAACACTATGACAAGTGTGGTGAAAGTGATCACTATGGGACAGATAAGAAGATCACTGAGAAGAACATTTGCACAGGTGTGACGCATGGCGCAAATGTGTTGTTGGTCATAGAGTAACATGAAAACATTCAATCCTCAGCTTGTCAGGATATTTAGTGCTTTGTATTTAGTATCGAACAATCGAAGGTGCAGAAAGTATAGACCCATGTCACATGCGTCCGGTGCGGAACCCCCCCCCCCGCCGCCCTCATGCTGCGACATTGCTATTTCGAGATGTTTAGGTCATCTAGTTATGACCTGACGCTAACTGTACACCGATAAGTGTGTCGAAGTTTTTCAGGTGGTCAATGAGCAAGACGCAGCGTCTTACCAGTAGGTTTGAGTCCCATAGATTCAAAAAGCACGTATTATTCGCTTCCATGCACCATAGACGAAACTAACTAGTAAGTTCCTACTCTTATGTCATTACACGATATGATATAAAAGATAATTAATTCAGGACGTTTTGGTTACGATCTTCCCAGCACTGTTGCCCCAACTTCAACCAATGTCCTCATCAGCCATTGTCAGACCGACTTAATCTATCGTATAAGTTGATCGCTAGATATATAAGACTACGGAATTCCAGGTAAATGATTGCATCACGAGCATGTTTTGATTGCACCAGAGGGCTAGGTCCTGTTGAGCGCACCCCTATAGTTTCAAACATCGGCGCACTTTTGGTGTCTTACATACCCCCACCTTTATCGAAACAGGACTGAGGATAACCCCACTTGTTTCTGAGTAAGTTTGGAATCACACATAAAAGCACATATGCACCGTCAATTACGTTGCTAACAACGCAAACGAGACAATTGAAAACATTACACCTTCTTACACAAATGCACCGTCCACAAGTTTTCCAATTATGTTATGGACCTACCGACTCATTAAATTCCGCAGTTCCCACTTGATTTAGGTTCAATCATAACTGGTTATTTTTTGTGCTAAAGTTTGAAGTTCGAAGAGCTCGCCACCTCAGCAAACGCATTTCATCAGAAAATCAACCTGACAAGTCGTGACGTAGAAAGCTATTATCACTTTAATTTGGACAAAACTCCACCAACAACCCAGTATGTCTCTGAAACGCATCATTTATCTTCACTGACGGAGCCAATTGACCCGGAGTTGGCGGAGATATGTGCACGTCAAGTACCTCAACCGCAAGCAGATTGTCGACACAATGGACATCTTCGTGGCCCTCGTATCGCGGACTCAGTATGCTCAATGCCGGTGCATCTGGAAGAAAGTACTGACTCTGAGGCAGTAACCACACCGGATCTCGATGAGCGCAGGTCATCTGCATTGGAATCCCGTGCATCAGTAAACGGGACATTGAATGCCGAACCCAAGAACCAACTAACTGACGCTAAGCACATGAAGGGAAAAGTATTGATATCGGACGATCAGACGGAACTCAACCGTATGTCGTGAGTTATATATGGTCTTCGATCTCACATACCGTTAGGCTAAATCCAACCTTTATATGAGCTTATGTGCATGTCCATGAATAACTAAGGATCTGAGCGACTGGTGGAGATCCGGACTTCACGACAAGAACTTTTACCACTTTCACCAAATCACATCCACCACAAACAACATTATTGAGGCGGTTGTCAATTGTGTCGTTATGAGTACTTAATAAAAACCAGTCTTATAGACCTTATTGGAATTGGAATGGGGCGAGTTCTGCCTGTTCGGATAGTGGCTCGATCACAGGAAATAGCTATCCTTCCATAACCATTCTTGATATGTTCGTGGTTCCTGGCTGATACTTGGATGGAGCAGATTTATAGTCTAATTGTGTTTACCCAGATAAATTGACCACAGTGTTGATAGCGCCAGACGGCTTATACAGTCCAAACTCCCATGAGGACCACCTCTCTATGGCGACCAGCCAAAAGCATCCGAAACCATTTCTATGTGTACTGTCCCTATGCATGAAACTGTTTATGACGATCAGCTGTCCAAGGTGACCACTTTTTGTAGGTACTTTGAATGGTTGCTTTGGACAGGTTTGAGTGTACTTCGATGGAATTAGAGTCACTGAAGAATAGTTTGAGAAACTAACTTCCTTCCTTAAAACCAACCAGTAGTTTGCTTCTGTCAACCGAGAGGGAAACACTATGGCTTGAAGATCTCTCACATTCAGCGTTGAATGTGTTACTTAGCCATCTGTATTGTGAGCGTTTAAAGAATAGGGTTCCGACATTGCAACCGGCAACTAGGAAATAACCCGAAATGTCTAGAGTACTCCTCAGATTATCGGTAAATGCTTGAATAACTATGCTCTATTCATATCATCTGTAACCTTTAAAGGTTTGTACTGTATTACATGTTTTCGCAACTAGCAATCGCGCTGGTCAAGTTGTCACCAATACATTTGATTTATGCTGGAGTAAGTAACGTCGATGGTGCTCTTTTATGATGGCAGTTAAATTTACAAAATAACCCAGGTTAGTGTACGGTTAAATCAACTTTATTATTTTGTTTCGGGAGGAAATTGGTTGTCTCGAGGGTAAATAGCTTGCCATATACTGTTCTGGACCTAGCGGCTAATCAAACTCAGTTAGGCACTGAAAGTAGACAAGCAACTTGGTGGGAAACCGACGAAAGCAAATGATTGGCACTCTTTCAATCAGAGAAGTCAAATGGCCAACGCTTTGCGCCGCAACAATTCCGGACTAGGCGTCTGTCCTATGAGACTTTACTCCACGGCTAGATTAACGTGTAACACAAATTAGTGAGTGACTTAAAGCCGGTAGTCCTTTGTTAACTTCACAAATCTTCTCCTACCCACAGACGGTCTCCAATGACGAAATCACTTTCGCAGATCGACGCTATTAGTGTAACTAGAGTTTCAAAGAATGAGAGAAGGCAGTGTTCAGAGAATAGCATCCACGGAATTTCGGCACAGTCGAAATACGAACTGTTCAACCTCAAGAGCACAACACCTGCTAATGAGAAGTTTACACCACCAATTCCGGTCGTGACCGTGACTCATGAGCCGTCGAAGATGGAGCAAGCCCGATTATTGTCATACGAGACAACTAAGGTGGGGGTAAATGGAAATCCGATAGAACAAGCAGTTTTCGATGTTCGCGAAAAAGTGAGATTCATTTGCCTAGGTCCTGTCGAGGATCCACCGCTTACCGGACAGAGGTCAATGGAGCATCCTATCACTTCTAACAGACCGGAAATGAAAACTTATCATTCATCCAGCTGGATTGCTATTTGTACTGGAGAGACCACAGTATCAGTGTACGACTTCAAGGTGAGCTTGTGGTTTACCTCAGTCTTTTTGGCTTCACCAAATTCGTATTATTCACCCAGTTCATACAACCACGCCACCGTCTCACTGTGGGTTGATGCTAACGTCCACCGACCAAATGAATTTGAGGAAATACTCCTGACACGTTGCGATTCCGTTGTTCATGGTATCAACATTTCACGCTTGATCAACCAGTGCAACTTCCGGGACATAAAGTTAAAATGACAGCATAATATGTGTCACGACTTTATCATTTGACAACATTTGAGTAGGGACCAGTGCCAGCCTATAGATTTCTTTCTGTCAAAAAGGAAATCCTCATACCTCAGCCAAGGCACACGGCTATTGCGTCAATTTAGATTTTGACGGCAGTGCTGATCTTCTAGCTTCTGCGTAGAGCTCAAGGCCGTGATTTAATTTTACAGAAACTGAAGCCATCGAGTGACGACGGATATCTGGATCGATGCGAGTAAGCTACTTGTTGTTGTAATTCGATACTACGCAAATGTCAGGCAGCAGACAAGGTAACTCACTCGTGAAATCATCTCCCAACTGTAAACTATCAATTCACCTGTGATCCTGTATGAACTATGGACGGAGTTTGGCTAAACGTTTTACTGTGATATGCAGGGGACACGAACAGAGTTCGTTGTGAGGCCGCACACCGAATCATTATAATAAATGCCAATATCATCCGTCACGTAAACATTAGCCTATCATCATCAGCTAGGTACACCATTCTTCCCATCTGCTCTCACCAATCAGAAGCACTCGGAAGCTGTATTCCATTTTCAAAACTTCGTAATCCCGAGCTACTACTTTGCTTCCATTTTCCCCGTGTGGTCAAGTGAACCATTTGATGGGCCTCCTTTAGCATGACACGACTCAATTGTCAAATTGTTGATAAATTGCAGATCAGTGAACGTATTTGCTAGACAGTAACGTAGGAACGAAACGGGTGTTTTTCGTAACCTTTGGCCCTTATTTTTGACTGGTCTAGCACACGATATCTATTCGACGCTGTATGATCTACCCGTACTTGGGAACACCTCGAGTATGGAAAAATAGTTTAATCCGGATAAAGTATCTATGTTAAACAGTGGAATGTGAAGGTGGTTGTAACCGCACCACTTAAAAGATCCAACCTGGGCTCTTTATCGCCTGTTGAACGAACCTTTTGTCTTGGGCACTTGCTTTACCGAATTCATGGGACAACTCGTCCGTTTGTGGCATCCTCAATAAGTATATCCCTTTTTTGCGATCAGGTAACCATAAAGAAATCTACGAAATTTCTTGGTCGTATGATCCAAAGGTGTGACTAATCTTTTAAGCACCAGCAAACAAAGAAGCCTCGCTGGAAAGGAAGGCACTGAAGACATCGTCAATTTATAACAAGAACAATAGGGGCCTACTACGTTGAATTACATCACCTGCGACTGGCTTAGGTTTCGAGGTATTACGCAGAATTTCGCCACCTAAGACAAGAATGAAACCACAACAGAAAGGGATCATTAAGTCAAAACGTTATTAGATTGGAAATCAGTAGGTCGTGTGACGCTCGATCTATTGGCTTTTGTACATCGAGGCCAACAATAATAGCCGACAACCCGCCGTTGAATGAAATAATTAGGCGTGTAATAAAGTACGGCTTTCACGTTATACAAGGATGACAGCTTACAAAGCCGTATTCTGAACCGTTTATATAGTTACGTGACATTACGAAGCCGGCAGTTTTAGACTGATATGACTCTGCATCATCTTGGACAAGGTTGTAGTATGACCAATCAGATGGTACTTGTTCATCTCATGCGCGGATCCCGATTTGTGTAAAGTATTTAACAAGGCACCATTTTATTGAGATGGTACGACACCAACCTCCACGGATAATGAGAACAGATCCATAAGAAACATGGCGATGTCATCACCTCCCATTTTTGTTGCGGCATTTGGTAAGTTACCGGGTCCAACGTGGTATAAAAATTTAATGTACGATATAAGATGTATTATGTCACGACGATCTAATTCTACCGTACATAGTTTGTTATCAGTAAGGAGGGAGGATTATTCTAGGTGGCTCGTTAGCGTCATTGGAAACGCAGAAATCACGGTTAAAGACTTCATTGGCGTAAGCAAGATCCTCATCAAGCAAGCAATTAATGTTTCAGTGATAGGGGTATCACCGTAGTTTGTTTCTACGCTCCTTCCACGTGACCAGCTCCTAGCAATTACACTGGCCGCCGAGTGCGCAACTTTCGTTGGCAATTTCCCAATCAGGAGGGCTCAATTCGGGTTCCGACTTAACGGTTTGCTCCAGCGATACATAAACCTTTTTTTCATATACAGTTTCGAAGTTGAGTCAAAGTTTGAATACACTTGGAAGGAGGAGGTTATGATTTTGATTTTTGGGGATTAGATTGGTGTCTTAGATTTATGAGAGTATTTAGTTAATGCTTACTGTTGTTGTAAAACCAAGCAGTGGCCACTTGTGGGTCTGTTATAAGAAAGAAGTTGTCCCATTGTAAAGGTCGCTGCAGGACAGCAACGAACCAATAACTTAGGCTTTGAGGAGGCCGATGCGATATTTTAGGTTGCACAGTAGGAATTTCACCTCATGACCACATTGACAAGAGTAGGCACATTTTGCCGTCTCTCCCAGGGATGTTGTCGACAACCATACTAAAAGCAAAAGATTGGCTCATCATCATCACCATCAACAGCAGTACATTAGCCATTTGAACTGATGCTTCGCTGCCATACAACCATGAGGACCTATGAAATAAAGAATAAGAGAAGAGGGAGAGAAGGGGGACTTACCTGAAAACCACAATGCCCTAAGCAAACATTCAGGGTCAAGGCGCCTACACCTTGTGTAGACAACATACCGTCACAAACAGCTGGCTATCGTGCAAAGATAAGGCGGCATCGGCGAGACAGCTTCCTTGCGGCTTTCACTGCCACGCGTCATAATCAGCCATTAACCCGCAGATAACTCAGCACCAAACACACTTTAAACAGACAATCCGATTAGGAGACGGCAGCAGACGCGCCACTGGTGTCGGTTGCGAGCCATGTCCTGCAAAGTCTCGAGCCAAGCACAAGGTGAGTCACGTGGACTCCAACCCGGAAGGCGAGACGGACCAACGGCACCCAGTTTGGTCGTCAGTGGCTTCATTTCACGCTGCCAAGTCAACTTCTGTCCACCTGGAGTCTTGCGCCATCCGACACCTGGTAGATTGAACAAGGCCCTCCTAGATAAGCGGTGACCAGGCATGCGTAGCACGTGCCCGAGCCAACGCAACTTATTCAGTGCTATCTGTTGTTTTGGTCAGGGACAGATTCACAATATGATTTTTCCCTCATGGGAGAATGGACATGTTTAGCCAAGCCAAGCAGCTGTAAGGAATATAGCACTTTCAAATAGTTTGCAAGTGCAGTCTAGTATACCCACTCTACAACAGGCAGGTTGAGATCCACTCGACTATTTTGTTGTTGTTCACCTGATCCGCTAAGTGCTTTAACGGGTCTAACATAATAATTATTTCGGTTTCACCGAAGTTCGGCAAAGCATGGATATAACCTAAAACTATTTTAGTGTTGTCTATGGAAACATTTACAAGAACGGTTAACGTTGCCCTCTGAGATGGAGTGCTGTCCCGTTGCCTAAAGTTAACAAGCTTGTCTTATAATCTGACGGTGCGGGTTCGAGCCTACGTAGGGGCACGGCGACCCTCACAATCTCCGTAGCCCGTGTGCGACCGGTGGTGCTTGCGCGGCAACGAAGCTTCGGTACTGTGTACCGGCGTACGGCTGCTGATGCTGTGTAGCAGAATATTGCATTGCCTGGAAAATTCCTTTGAAATATCTCATCGCTTGTCATTCAAAAAGTACTTTTCAGTGTCTCCAATAACATTTCTTCGTCATTGCCAGGACCGCTCGAGCACTGAGCCATGTCCTCCCAATACCCGAATATTTAATCACATCCGTGTGGTTGCATTGCTAACCGATCCAGTCCACTTGTTTGTGCCTCATTTCCTCTCACCTATAACCATATTTGCGCTCTTTGGAGGGTCGTTTTTGGAGCATTCGTGTCCATGGATTGCGACGCGAGTCAACAGTCACGCTACATTTCAGCCCACACAACATGCGTTATCTTGAAATGGGCTGGTGACCTCCCACCGCTCCGTTACCCAGGCTATCGTTATCCTTCCTCACACAATAGGGAATCACCGCACTTGTCGAGTTGGATGAATCACACACCTACATCAACGACTCGAAGCCCGCTACAGATACCTGGTATCTAGTGGTAGGGTCCTCAACAAATCACCATGCTTTTCAACGTATCTTGGAGGAAGCGAGAGAAACACTGGCCCAATGCGCCTCAGCATACGAACAAAGTGCAGTTGCCTTTCGAATATTTACTGAAAACGTACAAACGACGTATGTTAGAACGGTATCTTGAAACACCATAACAAGAGTATGCTTAGTCCTCTTTCCACACACATGGTGAACCAGTAAGCGCAGACAACGGGTATCCACAGTCACCATCGTCAGCGACGACAACTTCAATATGACCAAGTTCAACACCTCTACCATCTGCGAATGAAAGACGCTTCGCGACAGTGCTCAATGGTCGATGGAAAACTCCATTCATTCATGCTGAATGAGGAGGTGCTCACAGGCTTCAACAACTTGTGAAACGATATGCTCCCGCAACCACCGGCATCTAATGACCAGGCACCACATAGCTTGTAACGAGTCGGACGCTGGAGGGGAGAAGAGCATGTATTGCCACAATAATGCGCAAATGATTGCCCACAAACCCGTACAGATATGGGTCGTGTTTCCTGCCAACCACGCACCCAGGATGCGGATTTGGGAGACGGACCATTCCATGTGCCTTACGAGCTTGAGCCTAAGAACAACCCCACCATGTTACATCCCATATCTCCGCTTCACTATATCCGATCCTGGCCAGCCAGGAGTCGTTCGAAATCTCACGATTT